AACCTAATTAAAAATATAATGAAGGGTTTTAAAGTGTCAATAAATAATATGAAAATTACTCAAAAGTTGACACTTAACAATCGCCTAATAAAAACAACTAACAAATACTATTTTTCAACCCATGAACTACGAGGCTCTGATTTTCTCATTGCACTATGATAATACATAGGCACATGATCCCGGAATGTTGGAGAGCACATTAATTAAAAACTTATTTTTCCCCTTAATTAAAATCCAATAATCATTCATAACAAGTAACCTTTAGATAACAACACCCTTATGTGCAGAACAAATGAAGTGGTTCTCGTTGAGTACAACAAATGTGAGGGGTGCTAATATCTTCTCCTTGCATAATTGACTCCTGAGCTCGAATTTGGTTGAAAGACCATTTTCTTTATCTTTTGGGATTTTATCGATATTTTCCATTTCCTTTGGAATAAATTATGTTCGATCGGAACTCGGTATTTTTCGTGGCGCAACAATAAGCAACTGGTACGATTTGAGTCAAAGAACCAAGTGATTTGAACTAAGAAGCAAGAACATGTGAGAACCCATTAGTGTGATTTGAGTCACACAATCTGTAATTCGAGTCACATGATTCAAGTCACATGATTCAAGTTATGCATATTTGTGATTTGAATATGAGTTCCTGAAGCAAAATATAAAATTTTCAGTTTAGTGTGATTCAAGTAAAATAGTCTTTTGATTCAAGTCACATAGTCTATGATTCGAGTCATGAAGTATGTGAGTATAGTAATGAAAACATGAAATGAGTCATTAGCTCCCTGGGGGTCTTATTCGAGTAAGATGAATAGTATGATTCGAGTCACACTTGCATAACCTGAATTTTATAAATTTTGAAAAGATTTTTGAGATTTTACCATAGTCATGACTTGAACCATCTTCACAAATAGTTCTTTATACCAGAGAATAATAGATGGACTCAAAGAATATTTCATAAACTTATACAATACACTTTGATTTATGCATGCTTAAACAGAAATTTATAAAACAATCCTGTGATGCACAATTTTTTAGGAGACTCAATAATAAAACTAATCAAAACCAAAAGCCTAAAATACAAGGAATCAAAACAATAACCTTTGAGGAATCAAATACATGCAATACAAACTCAAAGAGTTCCATGATTAAAATCTCCAACATGTGTTCAAAAGAATTTGATAGTACAATATGATGCTCAATCTAGATAAATTCACCCTCGGATAAGAGCCAACAATTTCTTCAGATTCTATCTCATAAAGAGACTAATTAAAGTAAACCCTGAAAAGTGCAAAGTAGTGATTCAAATTATTTCTCCAACTTTGAACAAGGATGTCCAGAAGCTGAACATTATGCTAAATTTATTTAAATAGGTTCATTTAAAAATCAACCTAACATGCATTGTCTTTCTACATGATATTGAGGAAAGAGACGAAGTTCAATATAAACCTAATTTGAGAAAATGATAAGGTAATTGAAGAGAGTGTTATTTGCACCACTTCTACTCATGTGGCCACTCCTGGGGAAAACCCTATACTTGTACCTCACAGTCTCGTAGGATGCAGTAAATGTCATCCTAATTAGAAAGCCGTATTCTAACTAGAGCCCAATATACTTTAAATCAAAGGCTCTAGTTAGGCCATAGATGTGCGACAAGAAGATCGAGAAAGCAGCTCTGACATTGGTAACCGCATCGAGAAAACTCTTAAGCTACTTCCTTGCATATTTTGTAAATGCTCTAATGCATTTCCCCCTGAAATTGGTGCTTCATAAATTAGATATGGCTGGGAGATTGAAAAGTTGGGCTATTGAATTGTCAGAGTTATAAATATCTTTAAATGAAAGGAATACATTGAAATCCCAATTATTCGATGATTTATGGTGAAACACATCAAGTTGCGAATATATTCCCATTTGGTGATCTCTCTAATTAGAGGAGAGGCCCAAGCTAAAGACTCTTTACTACAATGACACTTGAAGCTAGCCACAAGAAAGTTGGTTGGGTTCAAAATATCTGAAATCACTCATGTTCACTAGAGGAGAACACTTATACTGACGTACTCTACATATTAGCAAGCATAAGGAACCATGTAACTAATCATTCTTTCATTCGGGAAATTATGAAAGCCCAGTCATTAAAGCCTTAGGGAGTATAACATCAGCCATGGAGAATGTTAATTTACCTTCCTATATGTCTCTAATTTAAAGGTACATTGAGAAAGGGGTTCTCGTGTACCGTTATAGGAGGAGTTTTGAATAAAAGAGGCCTATCTACCCCTTTTTATGGTGCCCAGAGAAGGAGGAAGTCGCTTATGCACTCTTGGAGGTACATGAATGGAGAGTTGGGTAACACCTTGGAGTTCAGGAATTGGTGAAGAACATTTTAACAATAGGATATTTCGGGCCAAACATGGTTCAAGACGCCAAGGAATATGTGAAGAAGTGTGACCAATTCTAGCAGCATGGAGACATCTTTATTACCCCATCAATAGAGATACATATTTTGACGTTCTGTTTGCCCCTCCTACAACGGGGGTTAGACATCCTAGGTACTTTCACATCAGCCACAAGACAACTTTAATACTTTATATTAGTTATTGATTAATTCAGAAAATGGGTCAAAGCGAAAGCTTTGGCAAGCATCATAACGACAAATATCTTGAAGTTTTTCAAACAAAACATCCTGGCTAGATTTTTGATACCCCAAACAACTTTGACACACAATGAAACACAATTTATAAAAATCTGAAAAGTCTATTAGAGGAATTGAAGATCAAAAAACACTTTGACTCGTTAGAAAACCTTCAAACGAATGGACAAGTAGAAACAACTAATTGGGTGTTGCTTACAGGTTTGAAATGAAAACTGAGAGAAGCCAAGTGAAATTGGGTTGATGATCTACCATATGTCTTATAGGACTATTATACAATTCTCCAGTCAACCACCAGGGAAACTCCTTTATGCATTTCCTATGGTATTTAATTCGTTATTCTAATGGAAATTAAATAACTCACATGGAGGATGGCTAATACTTTGCTTGGAGAAGATAATTACCGAGCAATCAAATAAGAAATCAACCTCTTAGAAGAAAAAAGACATTCATCGCTTTCACCAACACCATCATCAAGGAGACAATGACCTCTTGATATAACTGACGTGTCTAAGTAATATAATTTTATACAGGTACCTACTGCTACGAAGATACGACATATGAGGGAAAAATGTAAGAGATGTCAAAATAATAATGAATTGGGAATGATCATAGAGGGTGAAAGTTAACACTGGGAAATGAGCCTACATTTTGGAAACTCTAATGGAAGAGCGAATACTAGGAACTTGAAATATTTCCAAATTAAAATGGTACTACAATTAAAAGGTGTTGTTCTTTTCCTTGTAACATATGGTTATATTGATAAATATGATGATATTTTCCGCTTTATGTATCAGTTGCTTTTATTTTCTTTCTTCTTTCTTTTTAGGAAACAAGAAGAAAGAAGGACTATGCACATTTATGTATAGTTGGTGCACCCCCATATTAAGAGCTAACCAATTCAAGAACGTAGGCGGTGAAGCCCAATATACTTCCACCATGATCTGTTTCATAGCTTGAGGGAAAAGACAGGGATCCAACCCTTATTTGGGGACGACCCTCTATGATGTGGAGCAATCATCCAATGACATTTGCAAGGTTTTCTCTACCAAATATCGTTGACTTCTACAAAGGGATTAGGCACCATAAATCTAACACTATATAAAGTGAGAAAATCTATGCAAAACAAGTAAAACATTATGATAAATATCCTTCAATTTACAGAATGAGGAACAATACAAAATTACAACATAGTTTTTCCTAGAACAAATTTCAAAGAGCCACATAGTGCTCGAACGTCAGGGTTAAATGACTCCAACTGGTCCACAAATTTTTTGAAGGCGACATCCTTCATACCTTCATTACAAAGATCTAACAATTGTTTGTCCAATCTGACTAGTTCCTCCTAGAAAGTCTTAAGTTCACGTGGGTGGGTAATTTTAACCACTTGAAGTTTCTCCCCACCTACTAGGACACTTATTGACAAGGTCTCTAGTGAAAGTTATGCTTCATGAGAAGCCTTCTTCTTCTCTTCAAGTAAGGCCTCGAGTTCATACACCCGACCAAAAATGACCTCAAGAGTGTTGTGTAAGTCCACCTCTCTGAAGAAGGGAGACACATGATCTAGGAAATAACATAACTTAGACGACTCTCGTTGGTAACAAGTAACTTTCGGCTCAGAAAGACCATATCGGGCCTATAAAGACTCGACCTCTTGAGATGAAGCTGTTGGGGCAACTAGATTCCTATGGCGCCAATGCTGAAAGTCATGATGGAATCCAGAAACAAAAGTTTAAAAGTTGACTTCGCCATGAAACCTAATTTTCCTATTTTAGACGGTTTACAAATATGGTTATAATCTTTGAAGTTGTCATATCAAAAATTTGCCCTATTGATTTCTAACCAATTTATTCCTTATTTTTATTAATGCTATCATTTTCTTTATAATATAAAGTGTAGATTATTGTCAAATTCATATGTATTATGGGGTTTTAAAGTCTAATAGAGGGACGTGTTTTAATAAAAGGTTATTTTATCATTTGTAATCAGACTAGTCCCTTAAGATTTTTTTAGCCTCATTAGCTCTTTGTAAGGTTGACTGATGTCAACATCTTATTATTATTTGGTTTTATTATTAATAATTATTTCCATTATCATTATCAAATATTATTAGTATTATCATCAAATTATTATTATTATTCACGTTAGTTGTTTATAATCTTATTGATAAAATTATGATAGACCTGTGTTGACCGAAGTTAACATTAGTAAAATTTAGGGTCTTATACTTTTATTATTAAATTGTTATTATACTATATAATCTGATATTAAGGTTATTATAATAATTATTATTAAATATTACTTTCTAAATTTTTTGACATAGTCAATTTAGGGCAAGAAACCCTAATTCCGAATATTCATCTACGGCGGCTACCACCCTTTCATCTTCTACGCTAAGCAAACCAAACCTAATTTCAATCCAGCCCATAAAACAATAGCCCAAAAGAAAAATATTTACAAATCAATAAAGATTAAAGAATCATATTTATTTGAATTTACAACACAAAATCGTCCAAGTACAAAATCAATTACAATTAATTTCAGGAATCAATCTAACACTAATTCTAAATCACGATCAATCCACAAACAAAGCAACCTAATAATAAAATCACTAATTTCCCAATCTCGGATTTATAATGTAAATCAACAGAATTTTCACAATCTAAGCCTATAAATAAACCTTAATTTCTCATAAATAAGGAGAGGATGAATTCAAAGGAGAAACCGAGAAAGAGAAGAAGAAGATATGGGTTTCAACTTTTGAAACCCTAGATCTGATAGCCCGCCGCACCGTCGTCACCTTCGTCATCGTCACCTCTCCACACTTGTGAACAAAAATAAAGAGGATCAGAAGAAAGTTACCCTGAGGGCCAAAACAAATTGAAATCACTGCTTATAAGTTTTTGTTCGATTTTATTGTTGAGGTTTATGGTTGGGGTTGAGGTGTATAAGCTACCATTAGGTTTGATTTGGGGAGAAAGAAAGCGTGCGCCGCCGCTAGGATTTAGTGGCATAGGATTGTTGTTTTGCTGTAGAAAAGAGAAAAGGAGAGAAAGGAGAAGGGGAATGTTGGAAAAAAATGAAAATGAGATAAAAGGAAAAATGAGAGAAATATAATACTCCCTCCGTCCATTGAGCAATGGGGACAAGTGGCCAACATCAGGCCACAGATCCCCTGTGTCTCCATGTGTCCTTATCATACACCCTTGCCTCACATCCTTATGATCTTGATTGAATGTTCCATATCACTCGTGCCCACTATATCTCCATACACACACATGCAACCAGACGGGCTGCGTAAATTTTGTTGGGCCAAAAGCCCATGCTATCCTCATCCCTACTCTTTTTAATTTTTCTTTGTTAACTACAACCATACCCCTTGCATGTTTCAGGGCCAAGTCCAATATCTGGACTTGGACATTTAATTTTAACACCCCACAATATTACTACATTAACATAATATACATCACCTGCGTTTTTAAATTAATAAACTTATTTTTATAATTGTTATAATTTTTTTTACTTGTTTATTTATTTATATTTAAAAATAAACTTATTTTATAATTGTTATAATTTTATTTACTTGTTTATTTATTTATATTCATTTTATTACTTATCACATAAAAACATATTTTTTTACATTTTAAAATTATTAATAAATAATTATTAAATTCTCATTAAAAATATGTAACATATTTTTAGTAATTAGGAAATAATTATTCATTAATTTTCTGAAAAATACTAACTCTTTTTTTTTTATATTTGCATTGAACATTTTTTCCATTCTAACTTGTTATATATATATATATATATATATATATATATATATATATATATATATATATACACTCGAAAACAGCTAACCAATCAAAGACTAACAATTTTCTACTAATATAATTCAAATTTTATACTTATTTTCAAAAAGGATTATGGAAATATCTTCAATCGACTGCGAACTTAGTCTACAAATTCCGCTATTCACACACCCAAACTTGGTTCAAGGAGAATTCGAGATATGTTACGTAATCCATAAAAAAACCAACCAACAACTGCGAACTATGAATTGGGACTCTGATTACTCATAAGAGGATAGGTAGACATACGACTAAAATCGTGGCGAGTACCCCTAACAAAAATTAAAACCCTATTTCCTAAAAAATTGCAATTCGAAACCCTAGTATCCTTGTGAACAAGGTAGATGAGGGGTGCCTAACACCTTCCCTTCGTATAAAAACTAGTCAAACAACTTAGAATCTCTGATCAAATTTGGGTTATCCTTTATATTCTCTTCCTAAATATGAAAATCAAGGGTGGTGACTCTCATTTTAAAATGGGTTATAACAGAAGTATATGCAATCCTTTATTTATAAAATAGTATAAGGTAACCGTAAGGCCAACACCGAGGAAAGTTGGAGAGGAGGATTCCCTACATTATATGCTAGGTAAATAATATGAGTAGGTTCAGACAACCTCAATCTCTTAGTGGAACTTACTCGGGCCACCACATTACCGAAATTTTGTTAGCCCATCTAGAGATGACCTATCATTAATCTTAATCCATCATTTTAAGAAAGGTTGACAAACTCCCAAAGGCTTACAGGTTTCCTAATTAGTTGGAGAATTTCCTCCTTACCTTACGGGTGCAGCAAGATCCTTTGTCGGAGCAATATTGACCAGAATTGAGGGTTTTTTCTCCTCTCTATCTTGACCTCATTTTAAATAAAAGGAAATTTTGATGGTGGTAAGAGGGATACAAACTATCAAATAGAACAAGGACAAATCAAGTACCAAAAAGATTCTTTCTCTCCTTAATAGATTTACATCTTCAATATCCTTGCAACCTATTTCATCGCCAAAGAACGAGAGCAAATTTGTCTTCATGGATTTCTCTGCATCAGTAAGGGATGAGACATAATAAAAACCATATTTTTAATAAAAGTGGTCTAGAGACCAAAATTGTTGGCTTTGTCAGTATAACCACCTGGTTCCGAGGAATGAGATGGACTAGTATAAATTTTTGCATGAGGAACAACGGAAGTATGAGTGTCCAGGAAATGTTTAGGCTTGAACTTCTTCTAGCTCTCTGTATAAACATGGAATATCTTGTCATCGACCTTTCATTGAAGGACAGTTCACTAGAAATAGGTGGAAGAATATGTTCTTTAAGGTTGAACACATTTCCCCTGGTATTCATTCAAATATTGAAATACCCTGAAAAAATCCCAAGAAATTGGATGGAGATGCAAAGGAGCAATGCAAATGTGACCCAATACATCCTTCTCAAAAGTAGTCAAGGGATGTAAGACACCCAACTTCTGGAAAATACAATCATAAAATGGAATAAAGCATCCATTAAACATGTTCCATATCCTCTTACATGTAGGGATGGCGGAATTCAACCAATCTAATATTGACTACACTTTGAAGGAAGCCTATTCCATAACAGCCTCCCAAATATAAGGAGAAACTATTACTAGATATGCAGGGCCCAATCAAGAATAACTCTTGCATCTGTTGCTGCCATCAACTCCTGGGTCGAACAATTTTAGTTTATGCATCATAAAATAACTCAATTTTGTCAATAATGATAGAATGTCGATGGGGATGGTTTTTATCGTAAGACTGAATGGAGTAACCAGTCTCCCACAATACTCATCTTGGACTCTGAACTCACTTGGCATTAGATGCTAACTTTGCAGATCCATTATGTGTCACCGTATCAAATATCATCACCGTTGATCTAAGTTCTTCCATCATCGATCAAAACCAATTCTGGTTCCATAATGAAAAAATATAAATGATATTTTTTATGCTAGTGTCCAAATGAGTAATAGACTATATGTCCTTGATCTCAAAATGCCAATCAGTAACATTAATGCTAAATTTAACTAAACCAAACGAGTTGAATCCAACTTACCTTTGGCATTGTCGTTTAGTCCATATAAATTAGCAATGTATTTGAAAACCCCACAGAGATGGATTCTTGGACTCTTTTTAGTATGAATCATTTGAGAAATGTAAATTTAGATCATTAGGAAAAATGAAGGAATCTCCATTCACACGAAAAGTGAAATAAATAGTGATCTTTTGGCCCTTATATAAACTGATGTATGTAGATTACTAAAAAAATGAGTTAAAGTATATTTTCTCGTACTTCAACACAAACTACTACAAAAAAGAACACCTCCCATAACATTTGGAAAAGGGATGCAACCACTTCCTACCAACCGTTATGAGGTAAGGTGTGATTGTATGTATGATGCTTTCCCCCACATGTGTAGGACTATTGTGATAAACTAGGTAGTATGCTATATATCATAATGGTCAAAGTATACAACAATTGTGATATAAAGAGAAAGATCATGGGTTAGAAATCCAATGATTTTATGGTTTATAATATTTTTTACTCTATCTATAACAACGGTTGGTATAAATATCCGTGATTAAATACTCTATTTTTTATTTTAATTTTCCATATATTACAAAAGATAATGCTTACTAGTAAGAAATTATGAAAGCAAGAAATGCAATAATTAAATCTTAACCATTCATTACTATCACTACCCCATGATTCCTATAAAAAAGGAAATTAAATTTAAAATAAATTTAAAATTATCTTCTAGAAAAATGACAATTATATATTCTTGTCTTTCTTATTCAAATGATTCTTACTATATAACATTACTCTATTAAAAACCAGTATTTATTTACCTGTATATTACACACATATTCGCTAAATGTTTATAAAATATCAAATTAAGCAACAAAAATATATTTACAACCATCAAATACAAAGTCATATAGTACCAGTGCACTTTTCAACTAATGCATTGAAAATAAGCGCCTGACGTCTATGGACGTCGTCTAATTCATCGGGAGAGAAAAGTGTCATGTTGTTAAACATCTAAATAAACAAGTAAAAAAATTTATTATCATGTGATTTGAGTTATAATAGAAAATTACTTTAACATTAATATGTTAGTGTAAGCACTTCATGACATTATATATACCTGATCCCTCAAATCAACAATGTTGGTAGAGACGATGCTAAACATGTGTTTCATTACATAGTACCTACACTTGTTTCCCTCTGCTTGTTTCATAATATACAAATTTAAACGTTTCATGAATATATATATAAATTAATTTTACAAGTAATCCACTTACCTTGGGTTCACAAAAGGTGACCTTTTTTCAAGAGATGTTCATCATAAAATGTTTGTCCACAACAATGTATATTGAACATGATTTAAAATATTACATGCTAATATTACTACAAATTCAAAGAAAAAATTAATAAAATTCTCATAAACATAAAGTTACCTATTAGTGATGTGTTTCATCTTAGGTTGTTTGTCTAACGAACACGGTGTAGTTACCATATTCATATGAATAGATATGATAATCAATCGAAAATGATCTCTGAATAAATAATACAAGCATATATAATTAGTATTTGGTAAAACATAAAAACTAACTATATTATAGAAACTATAATTTCAAAATTACTCACTTATTGAGGAATGGTGCTAAGTAACATTCTCCCCCACCCCTTGGTATTCGTGATGTTAAGTATTCTTTAATTTTTTTTGGAGAATTATTTTTAAATCGTACTCTAAATGTATCCAACAATCCATAATTATCCGATTTATTTAATTCTACCCCCTCTAACTCGGGATCATGTTCTAGCACAAGATAAAACACCGCGTCTTCGTTGCGCATAACATAACATTTTGGTATATGATCCTTTAGAGGGAGCTAATAACCCATTATGGATCTCATTAACGATGGACGCGACTGAACAACTTCCTTTTGTAGTTGCATCACGTACAACATTTCTATCAGGAAATTGATCATCATCATCATCTTCTTCATTTGTACACTATGGGACGGTTCCACTGATTCTCTACATCATAAACAACACAGGAACACAAAAAATAAATAACACAATATATATCATACATATCAGATATCACAATATTCTCACATAGCACATATAGAACTTGTATGGCTTCCTATTCTTTCATGCGAGTTTTCGGCTCCACGTCTATCAGGCTTTTATTCGTTCTGCTGAGTATCCAACTTTCTCTCAAACTCTTCTAACGTTTCTTTTTGAACTTGTTCGATGCTTTTTCTAGATGTACCAAAATACACTTTTAGGATGATGCCATCTCCAACATCACAAACACGCAAACCATTT